CTGAAACTAGACCCATCCCAGGTCACACCTCCCAGGTCACACCTCCCCAGCCATGGTGCAGCAACCCCCGTGGGCACTGGGGGGTGATGTTGGGACGAGGCTCGCGGCAGGGGGTGGGCAGGTGCAAAAGGCCCCCAGGGCCCCCGAGCAGCAGGTGAGCGGCGCAGCTGGGCATTTTCCGTGGAGAGAGATGAGTCAAGCCAGGAACGGAGAAGAGGGAGCGGGACAGAAGGAAGGGCTCAGGCCAAGACCCTCCCGAGCTTCCTCACCGACTCGTCCGCTTACCCCAGGTCGGCGGCTGAGCGGAGACAGGCTCGAGCCGATGCAAGCCACACCTGCCCCAAGACGCGTCCTGGTTGCCCAGACCCTCCGCCTGCGGGGACGGCGAGAGGGGGGCGACGGGGGGGGGCTTTGTGAACTGTCCGGTGCCGTAAAAATACACTAAGTGGTAGTTTTGTGAGGTTTCTCCCAACACCCGGACCAGGAAGAGCTTCCCGTGAGCAGATCAGGACCAGACCCTCCGCCCTCCCCAAGGACAGTGCAGGGACCCCGAGCAGAGGGGGGCAGACGCCCGGCCCCACCGCGGGCACCGCAGCACCGATCCCGGGGCCCCGAGGCGCTCGGCAAGAGGTACATGGAGACGAGTGTCGCCCTAAAATGAGCTACCGGCACTCGGTGCATCAGCAGTGGCCGCAAACGCGGGGGTGGGGGGCAGAGTGCCACCTGCACCACCAGGCCTCCTCCCGTGTGCCCCGGGGACCCCGCCCCGAGGAGCCGCCCAGCCAACAGCAGGTGTGGCAAGCCTGTCACCTCCCGCGCTGGGGAAACTGCACAGGGAAGAATCACGGCCCGAAAGCAAGAAGGACGCAGAAGATGCAGAGGATTGAAATAAGCCCCGTCAGGCACCTTTCAGGGAACGTCTGTGTGCAAACCGCGCGGCCTCCGCGGCCTCCAGCTTCTTGCGTACAACAGGCTGCTCCTCAGCGATGTTTGACGAGACACAAAGCACAGTGGGTGACATAGAGTGACAACAAGTTCCCTCGCCAGGACACGGAACGTTGGGATGGAGTCCTCAACCCCAGCCTGGGAATTGCCGGGAGCAGGTGTGCCTGTGGCACCCGCAGCCTCTCCGACCTCCTCCTCCCGTCCCCACGCCTCTCGGGTTTGCCGGGGAGGAAGGGCGGCTGCCCCAAGGCCACTCGGCGCGACCTCTGTGGACCGCAGAGCTGTCCTCCTCTCCCCCCACCCGGCCCCCCAGACCTGTGCCCCAGGTGACTGCACCCCACTGGCCCCCACCCCGAGACCCACCCGCTGGAGGGCTGGCATCCGGCTGGCCAGGCCAGACAGCTTGCTGCATGGGGGTGCCGCCTGCAGGGCCCGGCGCTGGACCCCATGGCCAGCAGGGGCGGGGGCACCACTGGCTCAGAACGGCCTTGGGGCACAAACACGATCCCCTCCACCAAGGCGGGCACAGGCCCAGGGGCTGCGCAGCTCCCCAGCACCCCGCAGTCAGTGGGGCGGGTGGCCTCAGCTTGCGCTGCCCCTGCTCCTGGGGTGAAGGACCCGCAGCAGAGAGCAGGCCGTCTGCCCTGAACACCAGGGGCAGCGTCGGGCCCCAGGACGGCGAATTCGGTGAGCGCCACGACCGCCCTCTCCACTCCATGCAGCCGGGGAACCAGCCTGCGGCGCCCACCAGGAGCCCCAAGCCCCACTGGGAGCCCCACGCCCCACCGGGAGCCCCGCGGCGGGCCCAGGGCGCCCCTTCCAGCAGGCCCCAGCTCCCCAGCAGCCCCCCCGCAGGCGGAGCGCAGCCTCCCGGGCGGCCAGCAGGTGGCGGCCGCTGACCAAAAACCGGGCCTGTGTCTGCGCTTTGCGGGATCCGAGGCTGTTCCCTCCGCAGAGGGGCCTCCCCAAGGCTGCCTCCCGCCCGCACCCACACGCGGGCCCACCCGGCCTCCAGTCCTCCTGGGAGCCGCTGAGGGGCCTTGGACTGAGCTTTCCACCTCCCCAGCGCCCGCCCGGCCCACAACCGCGGCCGCAGCTGCAACAGACGCCGGCGCGACCTTAACCTCCCCGGCGATGCCCACCTGCGACCGTGTCTGGGACGCCGGGTTCAGTTCTCAGGGTTCAATCTTTTACTCTTTAAAGCTTGTATCGTAACCACCCGGTGCTCACCCCAGTGCGCGCCTCACCCCATCGCCTGCTGCCCCCGCCCCTCCCCCCTGGGCAGCAGTGCACCCCGGAGCTAAGCGGCTGTTTCTTGGTTTGCCTCCCCCTTTCCTTGCTTGTGTCTACAGGTCCACTCGGCGGTGATCATACAGCTCTTGTCCTTCTCTGACTTATCTCACTTAGCCTAACGCCCTCTAGGTCACCCCCGGGGTGGCAGATGTAAGACTTCACTCCTCTTGGGGCTGAGGGGCTCCCCATCACACACATACATCCAGGTCAGGTTCTGGAAGCCCACCTGGCCCACCTGTGCTTAGTTACCTGTTCTACCGACATGCCCCACGCTGGGCACCATCCCCCAATCCCACAGCCCCCACCCTGAGTCCCCGGACAGGACACCATCCGATGCTCCCGTGGCCTCAGGGTGTCTGTGGAGTTGGCCCAGTTCTCGCCGCGTCCCCTCTCACCCCCTGGCTGCTCTGCTAGGCCTGGGGGGCCCCCAGGGGGAAGTGCCCCCCAAGCCCCGAGACCACAGTGTTCTGTTGAACACGCTGCCCTGAGCACATTCAGTGACTGCTGCTACCCTTTTACCTGAGTTCAAACTCCCCGGCATGGCCGGTGCCCCGACCCTGGAGTCCCTGTCCCCACGCTGGCCCCTGCGGCTGTCCTCCAGCGTACTGTGCCCCTTCTGACGGCCTATATGCCCCCCCGGCCCAGCCCTTAACCCTTCAGACCATGAACGCCATGGCCTCTTGTCCACAGCAGGCTGTCCCCAGTGCCCGCCTGTGCCTGGCCTCAGTCCAGATCCTTTTCCTCCTTGCCAACCCTTACCCCCCCATTTGTTCTGGGCCCAGACGCACTGGTGGGTGAGCCCTGCCCTCCTGAATGCACAGCCAGGGCAAACACGGGGCCCCGGCGCAGGCAGAGGCGTTAGCCAGCATGCAAGTCCTTTCCACTCCTCGCAGGACCCGGAGCAAAGGGGCTCTGAGGTTCTCCGTGACTACTTACCTCTATGTGGCCTCAAACACCTGCACACAGCATAGGAGCCCCTGAGAGCCAGGATCCTAGGCATTGCTGGATTTCCAGAACCTTCCAGAGAGCAAATGGCTCTAGGCCATTCGCTCCACAAAAGCACACGGCACCTGCTCACCCTCCCTGAGCACCCAACAAAACACGGACCATCTCTGTTCTCTAGCTCTGAAGGAACCGGACGGCACAGATGTGAAGCCACTTCGCCAAGGTCTCGTGCTGGAGGCCAGGGTGAGCCCCGTAGCTGGACCGAGTGGCCAGCCAGCATCCTCAGCGGCTCCCAGGCCTCCAGGCAGCCCCTCAGCTGGGGGAAGGTCTGGGGTCCCGGCCTTCACCCCAGCAGCACCTCTGGGATCTCTAGGAGAAACTCTGGAAGCCAGTGTGCACTCGCAGCTTGTGTAGTGTTCAGTCCAAGAACACGGGGAACAGTTAGCCAGCGACGTTCCCGGGGCCGTTCCCTCGGTGAATGCTCTGAACGGGGACTTGGGTGGGGAGCACGATGCCCTCCCCTGTTCTTCAACCGTGTCAGAAACTCCAGGGTCACTCCACCCCTCTCAAGCCCTCCCATGGGGCTGGCATTAATCCCCAACCCCTCCCCTCGGCCCCTGGAACACTTCCCACTGGACGGCCACCTGGCACTGGGGAAGCTGCGCCCAGGGATCGGCACGGCCCCCACCCCATTGCAGGCTGCTGGGAGACCTGCAGATTCCCACACCAGGCACCCCGGCCGCCATCCCCACAGGTGCTGGTCTGACGCCCACCTGGGGAGGCCCCTGCAATGTCCCTGGTGCATGTGTGGAGGGGGGGGACACAGGCCAGACTAATGACCCCCCTGCCCCTGGTCTCTCACTGGCCATCCTCCCACACCCCACCACGGAGGCCATGCCCTGGTGAGGACAAAACCAGAAGATTCCCTCCTTACATGAAACACCGGGACACTGGAACCAGAGGTTTGTCCTAACGGAGAACCAAGCTCTGGTCCCCGCCTTACACACTAGGACTTGCAGGAGCTGGAAACACCCTCAGGACGCAGGTCTCCTGGGAGAGCCCGGTGGGGACTGGAAGCCCAGAGAGAACCCTGCTGGTGCCTCCAGGCCTGGAGCCACAGGGCTGGTAGCCAGAGCCAGCAGCTGGGAGCCTCGTGGGGCTTCGGCGGAGAGGGCACCCACCTGGGGCTGCACACGGAGACCCCCACCCCGCAGGGGCCCCAGGCAGGTGCGAGTGCTCCGGGGAGCGAGGCGGGTGTCTCAGGTTGTGCTGCGCGCTCCTCTTCAGCCCCGTGCGGGGCGGGCTCCTGGCGGAGGGACGGAGGGACGGAGGGACAAACACGAGACGGACTGGGCAGGTGCCCTGGTGAGGCCGGGCGCTCTGCGGTGGCAACCCGCGGCGTGGGGTAGCGGGGAAAGCGGGCACCACCCAGACGGCCAGCGCCCTCCCCACCACGGCCTCCCCACCTCCCCACCCTGGCCGTCGGTCTGTCCCCCGGCGCGGCCCGGCTCCAGAAGAGGCCGTCACCAGGTCCCTTCTGATTGGATGGACGCCGAGTCCCCGCGGGCGCCCCCCGCGCCTTAAAACTGCGGCGGAGCGAGTGGGAGCCGGAGCCCGGCCGGCCCTGCACGCGCAGCGAGGGTGGGGGACGGAGGGCGCGGAGGGGCGCGGGGGGCGCGGGGGGCGCGGGGAGGCGCCGGGGCGCAGGGGGCGGAGGGGCGCGGGGAGGCGCCGGGGCGCAGGGGCGCGGGGGCGCGGGGGCGCGCGCGGAGAGGCTCGGAGGGGCGGCCAGGCCGGGCGCGGGGGCGGGAGGCGCCATGGCCGAGCTCAAGGCGCTGTCGGGGGACGCGTACCTGGCGCTGGGCCGCGGCTACGCGGGGGCGACGGGCGGCCTGGCCTACGGGGCGGCGCGGGGGCCCGAGGGCGGCCCGGGCGGCGAGCTCCCCGCGGGCCCCGCGCCCCAGGGCGCGGCCGAGAGCAGCGGCGAGCAGAGCGGCGACGACGACGACGCCTTCGAGCGGCGGCGGCGGCGGCGGCGGCGGGGCGCGGGGGGCGCGGGCGGCGCGGGGGCCGCGGGGGAGGCGCGGCGGCGGCCCCGGGAGCAGCGCTCGCTGCGGCTGAGCATCAACGCGCGCGAGCGGCGGCGGATGCACGACCTGAACGACGCGCTGGACGGGCTGCGGGCCGTCATCCCCTACGCGCACAGCCCGTCGGTGCGCAAGCTCTCCAAGATCGCCACGCTGCTGCTCGCCAAGAACTACATCCTCATGCAGGCGCAGGCCCTGGACGAGATGCGGCGCCTCGTGGCTTACCTGAACCAGGGCCAGGGCCTGGCTGCGCCGGTGGCCGCTGCGCCCCTGCCGCCCTTCGGCCAGGCCGCCGTGTACCCCTTCTCGGCGGGCGCCCCGCTGCCCTGCCCCGACAAGTGCACCGCCTTCTCCGGGACGCCCTCCGCGCTTTGCAAACACTGTAGCGGGAAGCCCTGAGGGCCCGGCCGCCCCTCCCGCTCGCGTCCTGCATTTCACCTGCCCCCCCGGACCGGACCGGGCCGGACCGGGCCGGACCGGACCGCGCCGCCCGCCCCGACTCCGCCCGCCCGCCGGGAGAGGCGCCCGACCTGGGGCCCGGGGCGCGCCGCCGCGCAAACCACGTCTGGGCACCGGACGGAGCCGCCGAGCCCGCAGCGCACCCCCGGGCAACCTCCCCACGTCCGCGTCCAGCCGGGGTCGGGACAGGTTGACAAGCCCTGCTCGTCGGAGCACCGCCCCTCACGCTGAAAAAGAGAAAAGGAGAACCAGGACTAGGGCGGGAGCCGGTCCGCTGCGCCCCGGGGCGGTGGCCTTGCGGGGCTGTCGCGGGGCCAGGGACAGAGCGCGCCTGCCCGGCTCGGGGGCTCCGGGCCCTCGCGGGGGGCGCGTCCTCCGCCCCGCTCTGCTCTCCGCTCTCCGCTCTCCGCTCTCACCAACTGCGGGCCGCTCCTGGTGGCTGTTTCCCCGGCTGCCTGGACCCCACACCCCGGACCCCAGACCCCGGGCCTCCGAGGCGCCAGGACCTGAGCGCCCCTGCAGCCGAGCACCCAATGCGCCCGACCCGGGCTGCAACTGTCCCGCACAGAGGAGCTGGACTGCGGCCGGCGCCGGTGACCCTGGGCAGTAGCTTTGGGGCTCTTTGAAGTCAGTGTGTTCTGTTGTTTTGTTGTCTGCCCAGCGGCCTGAACGAACCTCTAGAGGTGAGTGGACGCCAGCCCTAGCTGCCTCCAGGTCTGCAGAATTTGTCCCCTATAGAATCCCTGGACTCCCCGGCCACCATCGCTCCCGCCGGGAAGTCCCTGCGGGGTGTGGCCCTCGTGGAGTGGAAGGAGACCCGCCTCGCGCCCTCCGCTTCCAGGCAGCTGTCTGGAGGAGGGTCCTCGCTGCCCAGGGCCCCACTTGGCCCTCAGTGTCCCGGAAGGACCCCGTCTACCCCGGTGACCTCCACACCAACCCCGGCGCATTTCCAGGGGAGAAGGCCAGGCCACGGGTGAGTAGCCGGTGGGAGGAGCTGCTTCCTGACCCCTGGAAAGGTGATGGGTTTGTCTCTTGGTGTCTCTTGCCTGTCTCTTTGATGTGGATGCACAGAGCAGATCTCTGCCACCATAGGCGTCCCCGTACTCTGCGCCGCCGGCTGGCCACCCTGGGGACCAGGCTGTCCGTGCCCATTTGCACCCCAGCCGCACTGCTGCAATATCCAGCTTTATTAACCCAATTTCCTCGGCTGTCGTTAACGCTATGCTAATGAGGAGAGGACCTCCGCCCTACAAAGCGGCCTGTCTAAAGCATTTAACTTTAATTAATACATTTCAAAAGGCCCTTTTGTATTTGCAAAATGAAGTGTGTGATTAAGTCTTATTCATAAAGACATATGCTTAATACTGGTTTTTGCTAATTTCCATATTTATTTCTTCACTGTCCTTTTCTCCCGAACGCACTACTTTATCGGTTTTGCACATTCAGAAAGCTGAGCGCCAGAAGCTGTGCCTCGAATCCCTTCCAGGTAACGGAAGGCAGGACAACTGGCAGTTCCAAGGTCGTTTACTGCCAGGGTCATTTCAAAGTGATCCTAAATCAACTTTATAAATTACTTGTCATAATCTGAAACAGAGTTGCTTATTCTGGTTGAAACCAGCTGTGTTTAGTACATTGTTTCTATTCAGAGTGAAGTTACGATTTCAAGTTATTTTTTAAAATAATAGGATTAAATTTTAATATTAAATTAAATGTGTTCATTTGTGACTGAATTCAGTTTCAATTTTCAGATAATTGTGTTAACTTGGACCACATGCTTTTTTCTTTTTTTTCCTAACTCATGAGAAACACAGAGAGAGAGGCAGAGACAGAAGCAGGCTCCCCATGGGGAGCCCGATAAGGGACTCGATCCCAGGACCCCGGCATCACAACCTGAGCCAAGGGCAGGCGCCCAAACACTGAGCCCCCCAGGCGCCCCTGAACCGCATGGTTCTAAATCATGGGGTCTAGAGTCTCTGAGGTGCAGACAGCCAATGTGTATGCAGCCACTCAGCAAATATATGAGATACTAATGAAAAGGTAAAGGAAAAAAATCTCTCTGCCCCCTCTTGGATGAAAAACCACACATTTTTGTAATTTTTTTTTTACAGATTTTATTCATTTATTTGAGAGAGAGAATGAGGGAGAGAGAGAAAGCATGAGCAGAGAGGTGGGGGGCAGAGGGAGAGGGAGCGGTGAACTCCCTGATAAGCAGGGAGTCGGTCATGGGCTCCATCATGGGGCTCCGGGATCATGACCTGAGCCAAAGACAGACACTTAAAAGACTGAGTCATCCAGGCACTCCGAAAATCCACAATTTTTTTAAAAAGGACCACGTAACTAATCATAAGTTCTTCCAAAAAATTACATTAAATGTTTTTTTTTTCTGTAGTTGCGCAGCCATGTATCTGCATGATCTACTGTTCTCCAAAACATCAGCCTGCTTTCACGGGGGTGGAGTGGAGTCTTTTTTCAACCTGAAATTAGGTTGACTTTTCAACAAGCCTAAGGTCGCAATCTGTTCTATCAAATACGAGTCACTTGGCCTCCCCATTCTAAGAACCCCCAGCACAAATACAGAGACGCAGGCTGCCCGTTAGCAAGCCCACCCCTCTCTGGAAACGTCCGAGGACAGGGTTCTGGGCATCCAACCGCGGGCACTCCTCGTGCATCTAACCCCCGGAGCCGGCACTTCTCCAGCCCTGGGGAGGAGGGAGGTGGGAAAGAGCCTTGCTTATAAGTGGCCTTTGAAACAGCCTTTTTCCTAGATGCTCGTTTTTTTTAGATCCGCCTTAGGGTAAGGAAAGATGTACTTGCTGGGACATCTGGATGTGGCTGGGGGAGTGTCCCTTTAAACCCTGGTTGGCGGGATCCCTGGGTGGCGCAGTGGTTTGGCGCCTGCCTTTGGCCCAGGGCGCGATCCTGGAGACCCGGGATCGAATCCCACGTCGGTCGGGCTCCTGGTGCATGGAGCCTGCTTCTCCCTCTGCCTGTGTCTCTGCCTCTCTCTCTCACTGTGTGCCTATCATAAATAAATAAAAATTTTAAAAAAATAAAATAAAAAAATAAACCCCGGTTGGCCCACACAGACCGGGCCACCCATGAAATTGTAGCTTTTCCAGTGGCTACATAAAAAGAGTAAATAGATGAAATCAATTTTAGTAACTCTTATTTATCCCAATGTATGCAAAATATGATCTTTTCAACACGTAATCATTATTTTTAAATTACTGGGGGGATAGTTCACATTCCTTTTTTTTTTAGCTAACTCTTCAAAATCCAGTGTGTCTTGTACTCAGAGCCTTTCTCGATTCAGACCAGCCCTGTTTCAAGTGTCAGTGGCCACACATGGCCCATGACCGCCACGGTGGACACTGCAGCTCTAGGCTGTCCTGACGCAAAGCATGTGAGGTGCCTTTGTTTCCTTCACCTTCATGATAAACAGGAAATGCCCACTGATTCAAGGAATAAATTCTAGAGCCAGACACACAGGAAATGCCCCATCCTGGTTACTCTTTGGAGCCCGGTTCACCAAGTCTAGCTGAGGCCAGGGCAGGTGGCCAGAAAAGCCAATGTCCACTTTCTACCATGAAATGGTGGTAGTACATCTACAGAGTCACCAGGTCCAATGCCGCCCAGCCCCGCACTGGCCACCCACGCCCACGCCGGGGAAACCAGCAGCGTGGTGACACTGCCACGGGGGCTTGGCTTGAAGCCAACCCTGCCTTCTTCCCCGGTTAACCACACAGCTGGGGGCTCAGCCACGCACAGACCAAGGCTCACTCAAACTCAGGTTATGAGCCCGGGGAGCCCGGCTCGTGGGGGCTTAGAGCAGGCTTCCCTGAGCCCAGGGGCTCCCCAGGGGTCCCTTGCTGCGGGCTGGAGAGGCAGGTTGCCTGGCTGAGGTCCTGCACCCTGTCTGTGTTCATGGATTGGTGCATCGGTGGCCGGTGCAGGTCCCGGCAGGCCCGCGCTCCCCATGGCACCTCCAGCTTGCCAAGTCGAAAGAGGAGGCACACGGATTGGAAAACCAAAGTGGGGGTTCCTTAAGGTTAAGCTAATGAGGGATCCCTGGGTGGCACAGCGGTTTGGCGCCTGCCTTTGGCCCGGGGCGCGATCCTGGAGACCCGGGATCGAATCCCACGTCGGGCTCCCGGTGCATGGAGCCTGCTTCTCCCTCTGCCTGTGTCTCTGCCTCTCTCTCTCCGTGTGTGACTATCATAAATTAAAAAAAAAAAAAAAAAGGTTAAGCTAATGATTGAGCATCCCAGGACAGACACAGCCTCCTCTTCCCTCCTTTCTTTAACGTGACCAACGGCAAACATGTCTCTCCCTCTCCTTTGGGTATTTCCAGGGGAACGTTTCTACCGACTTGGTGAGACACCACGGTGCTCAGGTATCTGACGCCCGAAGACCTTTGTTTTCCTCCAGTTAGGAAATTCACTCGCCTAAAACGGCATCCCTGGTTTTCAGTAATAGGCAGTGGCGCCCGAACTCCATCCTGACCTAGCTCTGCCCCCAGGGACCGGAGCATGGACGTGCAAGGGTGTCCAGCCCGCAGGAGTTCGCCCACAGGCCCTCATGGACGAGGCGCACCGGCTCCTGACTGTTCGGTTTTGTTGGTTGTGTCCCAGGGTTGGGATTTTCTCTTCCTTCGTGCGGACGTGAGGAGAATCCTCGGGGAGCTGTTTTACCTTGGGACGAAGCTACCGAGCGCCCCGGTGCAGACACCTGCTTTGCCAAACCTGCGTGTCTATTTCCCTTGCAGGTTGGGACATGAAAGGAAGAGGCACCTCCTCATAAGGGACAAATACAGTTTTCCTAAAGGATGTGTGAATCGCACCGACGGTCCTTGCCTCGCCTCGCCCTTGGCCGTCTGCGGGAAGTCTGATTAGAACGACCAAGCGGCGGAGGCTTCGGAGCCCCGGTTAATCCAGCAGAGA